GACCTTAGTTACTTCAAAAATTGTTTTCCTTCTATGAATTCATGATGACTATCCAAACATTTATGTCTAATCTCTTCAATTAATGTATGGTATTCTAATTTTCACACAATAATCTTAAGTAAGTGCTTACAGCAGAACAATGCATGTAGTCTTATATCAGAATTTCATATTTAAGCCAACAGAAGTCCAGGACCAGGAGCCAACAAATTTGTTTCCCACAATTTATTCACAGTCAAAAGAAGAGAAGATGCATATATGTCTACAATAAAGTTTCAATTATCTGCAACATATGCTACAGCCTATATTGATATAAACAAAATACATATTTATGGGCCAAATTGATTCCCCTAACCTCTGTGAAGATTGTTTAATGTAAGGGAATTAGTACCAAGGGAATGTAAGTAGCTGTCAATATTAACCTTCATTCTTTGTGGTCACTCCGGCCATGCTGCAATGTTCCCATATGACGAAGTTTGGAAATTATCTCATTTCAATAGTACCATATCTACCTACAGATATACACATAAGAGGAACAAGTCTTAACCTTCAAGAATGAATAAAACCAATCGACCTAATCAGGAGTTAAGCCAGAGAAGCAAAACATTCCAACCTGCAATTTTGCATGCATATTCCGATGACTTAAAATGCAAAATACAGATGCTAACTGTTGAAATACCTTTTTCTCTGCAGTTCAAGCAGCATCAAGGAAACTTAGAATAATTATATTACTCACCATCTGATTAGTTTTGTGTTGCCATTGAGGAGAGAACTTAATTTCTCAAGAACTTCCCCACCATAAGAGTATCTCTCATTCTGTGATGACCTTATAACATATAGATATGATAAAGGCATACATGTAATAAAGGAAATTAATGTAAAGAGCGAGAAAGTGGAAGACCGTAAAAAAAAACTTGAAAACTAGAAAGTCTTAGATGAAGTTCTTTATATAAAGTTTGTGAAGTTCCCTAATAAATAAAATATAATATCAAAAATCAAAATCTATAAATTAAAAGGTTTCATTAAATATATCAAGTGTGTAAATTTTGAAAAAATTTTAATAAATTTTGATATATATTTTTAGATGACATTTTTAATAAAAAAATATTGACAAATTTTTATCATTAAATATGTATCAATCAAATTTAACTTATAAATAATTTTTTTAATTTTTTTTACATATTATTGATTTTCATATTAAATTCCATCAATCTATCGATTTAAATTCTTAATTAAAGTTTTTATTAAATCATTTTTAAAAAGAGACTTCACAAACTTCTCTTTAACATCTTCATGTAAATTTTGTCCTGAAAACTATACCTTAACCTCTTTAAGCCAAATGGCTTTAATGTATGGGTCACTCAAGATTTTTGAGACTTATTGAGACATAAAATAAAAGAAAAAAAATCATAAAAAATAATTTTAAAATAAAAATTGAATAAGAATATTAATTAAATGTTAAAAATGACATAATTTTGAGACATTAAAAAGAAAATGAACAAAATTTGTGGAGGGGAGTAATTAAATCATTGGCTTATATCATTAGAATTAAAGGTGTTCATAAACTCAACTGCATGGAATCATGTTTGATTTACATTTTCAAAATTTTGCGTAAGACTTGATCCTAATTGGCTTACTCATTAATTTCATATAATCCGATCCATTACTAGTTAAAATATTTTTAAATTATTTTAAATTATTTTTTTACTTAACTCTTTTATCTTTTAAATTTTTTGAAATCAATTATTAAAAAAGTGCAAAAATAAAATATTTTATATTAGTATAAGTTGATCTCTTCTTATATATTTTAATATTTTTTTAATTTATACTTTGAACAAGTTTTAATATTGTATTTCAATTAGTGTTTTTATTTAAGATTATGATAAAACTTTTACCATCTACTTAGTATTGATAAAATTTTGTTATTAATATATATATTTATATTAGAAATGCTTGTTATAAGAAATGCTAGTTTCATGTGATGGTTGTAAGATGAGAATATTAGGAAATTTAAGTAAAAATCTTATTTTAATCATTTTCTTATTGAATAAAAAAAATTGTCCTATATATATACACAAAAAACTATATCGTGCTTAACATTTATTACCAAAATTTATTATTTTATTATTAAACCGCCTAGCTTCAACTTACCTAAATATTGATGAATGTGACATTATTTGAGGAGACACTATCTAAAACACTTGAAATGAACAATTATGAAATAAATACAATGAATATTCAAACAAATTAAGGTCCATATAAGATAAGAGTTAAAGGGAAAGATTTACGTAAAGTTTTATAGATAAAGTTTGCAAAATTTTTTATTAAAAATAAATAAATAAAAATAAAAATAAAAAATCAAATCTGATAAATTAAAAAAATCTAATAACATAAATTAAGTATTCAAATTTTAAAATTTTTTTATTAAATTTTGATATATTTATTAAATAGATATTTTTAATAATATTATTAATAAAATTTTTATCGTTATATAAGTATCAATTAAATTTGAATTATAAATAATATTTTTAATATTTTTTTTACATATTATTGATTTTCATATTAAACTTTATCAATCTATAGTTTGGATTTTTTATTAAAAATTTTATTAAATTATTTTTTTTAAATTCATAAATTTCATCTAAATAACTTTATATAAGTTTTGTATAGAAGACCTCTTATTCAACAACAAATGCAAAAGATTACCAATTATTAATATAGAAAAAAAATTTTATGACGAATTGGAGTTGGAAAGTAGCAAAGCACGGCAGCTTCATCAATTCACCTTCCAGCAATTGACACGAATTTGTCCTTTCTTCCCAGTCAAGGGCTTGATGTTTCCCATCTTAATCACCGACTTTGGCAAAATCATCCCAGAAAGCTTCAGAATTCAAGCTGTAAGTCTTTACAAGTTTATCAGGTGAGCCACCATTGAAAAGTGCTTGATCTGACGTGCACAGACCCCTTTTCTTCACCAAAATTTGAAAGTATGCAGTGTCAAAGTGTGCAGGTGATGTGTCAAAAGCTGCAAGGTTAGAGTTGCCTCCGACAAGATCGAGGGCAAGTTGCTCTACGCTATTTTGCCAAGGTAGGGTCAATATTGGTTGCATTGTAAATTCTGTTCCTAAAGATAGCACATTGTGACAACCCGATGGTGTGGCCGCCAGACAGAGCTACAAGGTCTCTTCGGTTTAGGCCCTGATTCTTAAAGTTGTTGATTAATGAAGGGAGGTCCATGGATGATGCAGACGGAAGTACACTGTCTGCTAGGGTCCTGCTAGCTGTGGTGGAATCTCTGCAACCCAATCGAACCTTCCACGTCGGGCCTTCTAGCTGCAACCATGATATAATCTTGGACAAGAAATGTTTCTTATTAATTCAACTGATAAATTTTGCCAATGAAAATGAGTTGAACTTTAGCGCAACAGCCAATATATCTGCACAAGAGACCACAGGACGTCCTCAAACTCTGTCCACATCAGCTTTAATTCGGTCTTCCACTTCAAATCCTCTCACAGAATTCAAATTGCATATGAGGAGTAAATGGCTATAGGCTTTATAAATTTGCTGAATTTCTGTATTTGAGGTTTCTGTTGTGACTCTTGGGGTGGTGGGTGTCGATATTTATAGCTAGAGAGGAAGTATTTTGGACCGCATGGATTTGTTAGTTTTGGACTTTGCACATTATTTGGACTATGTCATAGGATCTTTTGTTTACTAGCCCAATGCGCTTTGGTCACTCAGGCAAGCAAACGAGGAACCTTCACACCTGTACATGAGGCTGCTAAAATTATGATGAAAAGCTGAACTTACCAACAGTGTAAACAACGACTGATTACAGGAAGATTTCTCGTTGAGGCATCAACTAGGATGTACAGCTGAATAAACCTCTCATGGCTAGCTTCAAGGTCTAATAAAACATGCTGAAACAGAGCCTGAATTAATAGCTTCATTTGTTAATCTTAGCCAAAAAGACTGCATTTTTTGTTTCTCTCCCTAAAGGAGGACCAAGTAGATGATTCAGCAATTTGACGAAAACTGTTTCGGAAATAATCAATTTGAGTTCCAAATATTACTCATACATAGCTTAACCACATTCATATAGCCGATGGCTAATTAAATCGATATATGGATATGTCAAACATTAATTTAATTACCCTTTTTTTAATTTATATGGACATAAACGTCCCTAACTTAAAAAATTTTGGACTAACCAATATATAATAATCTCTCATTTCCTAAATCTCATCTTTTTCTCTTTTTTAATATTCAAATTTGAGAGCCAACCGACTTTTGGATTAGTTAACATATCATTAAAATTGACACTTAGAAAATACAAATTTAAGAGAATTTAAGCGTATAATATTTTTTTTAGTCAACTATGTAATAGAACGAGAGGATTTAAGAGTAGATTAAGAATTTCGAAAAATAATATTCAAATTTGAGACATATAAATTATAACATTAACTTAACATTTATAAAATTTCAAGATTTAATATAATTACCTTTAAAAAATAATATCTAACATGTTTAGAATTTAAACCTCAGCACGTATTATCATTCCTTCTGTCATCAAATTACGACCTTTTTTATCTAAATAAAAATAATAATAAAAAAAAATTAACATCCATGGGTGTGCTCCAACTCTACAATAAGAAGGAAGTTTTATCATCATTCCTAATATAATTAATTATTGGGCCTTTCTCGGGTACTCGGTTCAACCCATTTGGTCACTGAACTCTTACTTAATGATGAAATAATTATTGGAGACAATTTGTGAAAGATGGGGTTTGTCTGATTTGGACCTAATTATTCTAGTGCTATGGGTTTCTTTTAATCTCATTGTTTTGTTGGGTGAATTGCCTATCACTGTTTAATTTTTTTAGTTTTTACCATTAATAACCAATTTGAAGAAATGAAAGGAGCCTGCAAATTAAAATGATTTCACCGAACCTGTCAGTTTGCTCCATGATATTGGCAAAATTCAGCATAATTACATTAGCTTGCTAAACTAAACAAATTTATTCAATTGCAGCAAGTGCAAGTTGAAACGAACATTGATTTTCATTACAATTGGCCAAAAAAAACCTTAAATTACATGAACAACATTCAATTTTTCATTTATTCCAACATCTATTCCATTTGAAAACTGAAAAATGGGAAATATCAACACTAAAAGATGGACAACTCAATTGACTTTCCTACAATTCTTCCTGATTTGGCCTCGTTTTCCCGTGGGTGGGCTAAGGTTTCCCATCTTTACCATTGCTTTGGCAAAATCTGTCCTAAAATATCCCAAGTTGGAGCTGTAAGCATTAACTTGAGAGTCCGTCGAACCCCCACTGAAGAGCTGTTGGTCGGAGTGTAATAATCCTTTGTGGCTCTTCAAATTCTTGAAATATGCATTGTCGAATAATGTTGGACTTCTTGTGTCCAGAGGAGAAAGGTTGTTGACTCCTCCTCTGCGTGGACACTTTGCTTTTAGCGAGGTTGCAAAGGAGGAGTCAATCGTTTTCTCACTGTAGATTCTTGGGCGGAAGCTTACGCACCTAGCTTTCCCGATGGTGTGAGATCCTAAAGAATTAATCAACAAAATAACATCATTTCCTTGATGTTAACATGATTTTGGTAAGATTGTTAATCGATTTTGATGGTTAATAGTAAAGAAGTTGTAAACAGCTCAACATATATATACCTGAGAGGGCTACCATTTCTTTAGCAGTGAAACCTTTTTTTGAGAAGGCTTTGATGAGGCCACTAAGGTTCAAAAATGGAGAGGGAAGGTTGGAATTAGCAGCCTTGAAGCTTGCAGTGGTTGAATCTCTTCTACCCAACAGAACTGTCCAACTAGGTCCTCCAAGCTGAAAGAAAGTCTAAGTCATGATGAGTATTGACAGTGTGATACATATGTTAAAGATGATATCTGAACTGTAATATAATGTTTAATATAATATCTGAACTTTAAAATATGGTACAAATCATGATTAAAATTTAAAATCAGGATCTTTTCACTTACGGCAACAACGGAGTCACGAGCAGCAACTGCGACAATATCAGCACAAGAAACAACACCAGGGCACAATCTCTCCAATCGAGACTTGACGTTATCAATTACTTTATATCCTCTCACTGAATGTTTGTTTGGACCAGCCTTTTTTTCTCCCTTTATATTTGCTGTATCATCCAACAGTATGGATGCATCACATCCCTGATTCATAATATATAAACAAACTTGTAATTACTCTAAATGATCTAAACTTGTAAATTACATGAGACAATACGAATCTCATGCATGATCATAAGGTTACATTTCCTAGCGCCAAACAAATAAAATGGTTAATACTAAAACACAACTACAAAGAAGTGTTTGTTAATCATTTGCAAACCCCAAATAAAATGGTACTGTTGGAATTTAATTAATAATTGAATCCAGGACATGTTTTTGTTTTATCCAAAGTCAATCCATTTTCGTCAAGCTATATTTACAGGTTATTGATAAATATTAGTAATACCAAATTATTTAGATCAGCTTATATAGTATGTTAAAATACAGAGTTAGATGTAGGTTAGGACAGTTCCATCCCCCTACCCCTTCCCTTTATTTATGTTAAAACGTTTTGTATTCTTTTGAATTAAAATTATTTACAGTAAATCTTTGTATGCAAGTGACAGCTTCCTAACTTTTAAAGGAAAAAAATAGATAAAGGTAAGGGAAAGTTAATGAAGAATATTCAAAGCAAATCAAAATAGGCAAATGATAAGGGAAAGTTAATGAAGAATATTCAAAGCAAATCAAAATAGGCAAATGAGAAGGGAAAGTTAAAGAAGATATGCATTATAGGCATGCAAATTGATATCATGCATGCAAGGCCAAGCAAGAATTAATGTTTCATGGAAAAATTAAGTAATTTGTAGCATTAATTAAGCTGGAAAAGATGAAACAAAAGAAGACTTGCATTGACAAAGCAATCGTGGAAATGAAGACGGAGCAAGGAAGCCCCCATGCGAGCCTCCTTCGATACAGCAGACTTCACTTCTGATTTAATGGTGGCAAGTGCTTTAGGGCATGTTGTTGCATAAAAGTTAGAGGACAATTGGGCAGATGCCACATTGATAAGAATAAAAAACAAACCTGAGAAGAATTTGAACTTGCTAAAAGGAAAGGAATATTTGGAAGCCATGGACAACAATTTTGCAAGAAAATATCAAAAAAAAAAAAAAAAAAACCGATAAGTATAGCTAGCTAGGCTTCAAGTTCTGAGCTGGGTAGTGGTGATATAAGATGTACATAAATTCCTATATTTATAGAGAGCTTTGCCTTGGAGGCTTCCACTCTTTTGCATTTTTCCAACCTATGAAGTCAATGGAAAATAAAAAAAGAAAAGAAGAAAAAAACCTGTTCAATAAAGAGGTGAGGGGTGAATTTTTAAACTTAATTAGAGTAAATACTAAATAGATAATAATTTGGGTTTAGCTGTAATTTTTTTTAATTGCAGTTGTCAAAATTTTAACTTTAAATTTTGATCATTAAAATTAAAAATTCAATTTATATCATTAATTATAATTCATATATGTAAAAGGTGACAGTGATCTCTTTAGTGCATGTCACTGTTATTAACCCCTTGAAACAATAAAACGTTAGGCGAAATGAATAAGGCCTTGTCTCTATTCAATTAGACTTTAGCGAAAATGTGTTTGTCTCACCAAAAAACAAAAAAAAAAAGATGAGAAACGAAAGGGAAACAAAACTCGTCCATGCGTTTATTTCTTCCTTTCGTTGGATTGAGTGGACATGCGTTTCTTGTTGTAAATTTATGGATTTTTTATATATTTTTTCTAGGTATGAACTTAGGACCACAAAAGGGAAAAAAAAATAATGATTGTATCACGGGAACAGTTATAACATATGGAAGTTGTCGTCAATTTAAATTTACAAATTTTGTAAAATAATTGGTGCTACATTTCTAAAGTCAATAAAGATAACACTTTATGCAATTATTAAACCAAAAATTAGTGACCTATATTTCTACGTTCCATCCAAAAATAAATAGTTTTATTCAATGTTTTTGATGAGAAAATTTACAAGTACCAGCTAAACATGCATGTTGAAAATGAAAAGATAATCGATAGCCTTAAATCAAAGTATCCAAACTAATTATAGGGTCAATTATATATTTTTAAAAAAAATTTAGACTAAAATTAAAGTTTGAATTTGAAACTTTCAATTTTAAAACTAATTTTATTAAAATTCGGTATCATTATCATTATATTATAATGTACTAAAAAACTATATGTAGCCACGATTCTTTCCTGCTATTTTAATTTACCTAACACATTTAAATGTATTTTTATTTTTTTTTCCTTCTTTGCAAGGGATTAATTGTCAAGACAATACCTTGATGATTTCACTTATGTTAATTTATCATTTATCATAATTATATAAGTGTCATCTTCATGTTTGCTTCCATCTAAGTTTTTTTCATTGGAATTAAAAAATTAATATTTTATCAACAGATCATATAATTTTGTTCTTTTGGCTTACTTCATTTTTAATTAAATTTTAAATGTGTAAATTTTACATTGCGCAGTTGAGAAAAAAATTAACTAATATGAAACAAAGATTTAAGGGCAAGATTTCCTTAGCCATTATTACTACTATTGACACACTTGAAGTTGTTGGGTCTAAAACAATAAACATAATAATGCAGAATCAATATATCATAATAAACCTATAGTAATAGATAATAATCAACAAATAACAACTAACAACATAGAAAAAATAAAGTACATTCAGATTTACTTGAAAAACCCTTTAATATAGAGGAAAAAAATCACGGACAACAAGAAAAAAACCTCCACTATCAAATAATAAATATACAAAAAAAATTTTAGCTAAAACTAAAGCTAATCAATAACTAGAAAGACAATTGGAGAAATCGTATTAAATAGGTGACTCAACAAATACACTATAGATTTATTTTTAGACAGCTTCAAACCCGATCTTTACTATTTAGAATGTAAAACTCTGAATCATAAACTTGCTGATAAAATTTTACCTCAATCAGACCACGAATCAACTTTCATTCAACCAACTCTCCCTTCTCTCTTTTTTTTTTTTGTATTTTCCTGGCTTTTTTTTTTATTTGTTGTGCCACATTGTTTTTCACCTTAAAACAGCCCTCACATCTTTTTATTAAGTAGCTAGGGCTCTATGTAAAAGGAAAGACTAAGGCCCATGGCCTTTGATTGGTCTAAACCTAATTACATGGGGCTAAACCCCATTTTCCCAACAATCTCCCTCTCCAACCCCATTAGGAAGAGATTCATCACCATAACAATTTCATTTAGAATTAACCTTGGCCAAGGAACCCATCCTGATCAAGTTACTACTAAGCTAAAGCTTCTTTATATGAGGCATCTTAGTAAGTATATCTACTACATTCTCATCATTATGAACTTTCTTCAATAACATCTGCTATTTCTTAATCACCGAATGTAATCAGTGATATCTTACATTAATGTGCTTCATTCTGGCAGTATACATGATATTCTTACTCAAATCTAAAGCATTCTAACTATTATAAAATATCATATACTCTTTCTAATTCAATTCCAATTCAAAAAGAAAAAGCTCATCCAAAGCTTTTTTTTACCTGTTTTGGTTGCTCCAATATACTCAACTTTTGTAGTTGACAAAGGAACGCACTTTTATAACTTAGACTACCAAGAAAAAGCTTTTTCTGTAAAAGTGAACAAATATCCTGAAGTAGATTTCCTACCATTAAGATCACCTACCATGTTAGTATCAGTAAACCCTTTTAAACTTCATAACTCAAGCACATTTTTAAAATACCTTTCAAATATCTAAAAATTCATTTCACTACTTCTCAATAAACCTTTCTTTGATTAAAAAAAAAAATTGTTCACTACACTAACTGCATGAGTAATGTTAGGTTATGTACAAATCATAAGATACATTAAAGAACTGACTATAAAAGAATAAGAAATACTAGATATAGTTAGTTGTTCTTTCTTAGTCACCAGATAAGATTTTTTACTCAAATGAAAATGGTTGACAAGTGGATTGCTAACTAATTTAGCATGTTGAACGTTGAATCTACTAAGCACCTATTCAACATATTTTTTTTGTAATAATCATAATTTTCTAGCTCTCCTATCTTAGATAATATCCATATCAATAATCTACTTTGCTGGACCTAAATCCTTCATATTAAAAGACTTAGACAATTATTCTTTCAAACTATAAACTATACCAGTATATTGTCCCACAATCAACATATCGTCAATATATAATAAGAGAATAACTAAGTTACTATCAAAAAATTTTTTGACATACACACAAGGACCCATAGTCATTCTTTTATAGTTATGGCTCACCATAAAAGAATTAAACTTTTTGTAACACTATCGTAAAATGTATTTCAAGCCATACAAGCTTTTTTTTAGTTTGCAAACTAAGTGCTCTTTCTTTTTTACTTCAAAACCCTCAAGCTTATTCATAAAAAATATCATTCTACAAGTCACCATGCAAGAATGCAGTCTTGACATTAAGTTGTTCAAGCTCAAGATTCAAACTAGCTGCTAATCTCAGTATCACTCAAATGAAACTCATCTCCATAATTGGAAAGAAGATCTCATCAAAATCGATGCTTGGTTTTTGAGAAAAATCTTTCATCATCAATTGAGCTTTGTACCTTACTAGCTTGTTATTATCTTTTTTCAACTTGAACACCTATTTATTTTTCAACGACCTTTGTCCTTTTGAAAATTTAACAAGATCATATGTACCATTTTTTCATAATGACTCTATCTTTTTTTATTGCTTTTAACCAGTGTTCTCTACTGGAATAACCTGCACTTCTTGAAAGCTATTTGACTCCCTCTCACTGGTAACTAAAATAAAATTTGAACTTGAATACCTAGTACATCGCTTGTGCTCTCTAGTAAATCTCTTAGGCTGAGACTTTACACAACCTAATGTTGAAGGTAGCTTTTTCTACTCAACATCCTCTAGTGGAAAGGACTGCTCACCCTGTTTAACACTCTTAAGTAAAGAAGATTGCTCTTCCTGTTCAAAAGTAATTGCATCTGGCTCATCACTAACGTGGTTGGCTTATTCATATCCTCAAGTTCTATTTCTTGTTCATTTCTACCATTTTGTCTCTTTCTTATGAAACTCATGTCGGTATTAAAACATCACACTTAACAGTAACTTGTGTAATCTTCTCATTTTTTTGAAAGTCTATTATGATTTTTTTCATAAAAGATCATATCTCTGCTTCTAATTATCTTTTTCTTCACTAGATCTCATATCCTGTACTCAAATTTCTCATCACTACATCTTACAAATACACATTGTGTGATTTTACTATCAAGTTTTGACTTATACTCTTTTGGCACATACATGAATGCTTTACACCCAAAAACTTTTAAGTAAAAGTATGTAGCATCTTTCTGTATCCATACTCTTTTTGGAATGTCAAAGTCTAAAAGAATTTATGGTGATCTGTTAAGTAATTAATAAGCTGTGTTGACTGCTTCACCACAAAATGGCTTTGGTAAATTTGTCATCCTCAACATGCATTTGACTTTTTTCATAATGGTGTGATTCATCCTTTTAGCTAACCATTATGTTGTGATATTTCAGATTCTGTCATCTCATATCTAATCTCATGCTTTGAATAATACTCTTCAAAGTTTTGGATATGTATTCTCCATCATTATCAATCTGAATACACTTTAAGGGTAGCATTGTCATCCTTTCTACCATAGCATAAATTTTTTAAAATATTGTAATACTTAGCTTTTATTTTTTAACATTTACACCTAAGTCTTAAAGGTAATAAAATACTTACTACCACTCAATGACTCAACTTTAATGGGATCACATATGTCAGAATAAATCAATTTCAATCTAATTTATTTTCTTTGAAAACTCTTATGAAAAAAAACTTTACGATGCTTACCAAATAAATAATGATCACATGAATCGAGAGACATATTTTTGGTTAAAGGAATGGGAGACTACCTCGTTAAAACTTGTAACCCCCTATCACTCATGTGTGTCAGTCTCTTATACCATAAATTTGTTGAAGCATCATCCTTAACGGCATTTATCTAGTTATCGTTTAATTATATTTATGTCTTGTACATTGTGCAGTATAAT